TGAGTGGCAAATGTTTCACCTGCAGATATTTTTCTATGGCAGGGCACACCACTTCATTCACCCACTCCGAAAAAAAGTCCTAGTCACCCATGCCTTATTATTAGCCCTCCACATCACACACATTTGGTTTTTCTGCACTTTATACTGTTTGAAAACCCTTGGATTTTCAGAATGATACACTAGCAAAGGTTTAATTTTCAAATCGCCACTCGCATTTGAACACAGCACAAGCGTAAACCTATCTTTCATAGGCTTGTGTCAGGGCAAGGAATTTTCCTCCTTGGTAATGTATGTCCTCTTAGGCAATCTTTTCCAGAACAGTCTTGTTTCATCACAATTAAACACTTGTTGTGGTAGGTATCTCTCAGCCTCTGCAAACTCTTTAAATTCTTCAATAAATCGTTCAGCGGCTGGTTTGTCTGAGCTGGCAGCCTCCCCATGCCTCGCAACACTATGGATACCACTCTTTTTCTAAATTTTTCAAACCGTCCCCTGCTTGCCTTAAACTCTTACCTATCTGCATCACTCGTTCCAGGGGTTTTCTTTACAAGGTCTTCATGCAATACCCTGGCTTTCTCACAAATGATGGCCTCTGAAACACTATCACCCTTTAACTCCTTGTCGTGTATCCAAATTAATAACAACTTTTCCACTTCATCAAGTATTTGTGGTCTTTGTTTCGTGATTGTTCTTATGCTTTTTGCCACTTTAGCACTCATAATGTCCTTTTTCTTGCTAAGTATAGTGCATATCGTTGACGTGACTTTGTTGTATTGCCTACAAAGTTCAGCAACACGTGTACCATTTTCATGCTTCCTAATGATCTCTTGTTTTTCCTCTATTGTCATCCTCACATGAGCTTTCTTGCTTTGATCCTTACTACTGGCTTTTTGGGACCCATGGTGAGATATTTAATAACAACTTTTCTCTACAAGATCATATGCATAAAATGTCACCCAAGCATTTGGTATCCCACCACGAAGTAAATAAACACGAAGATGACTCGCCGTGACACCCAAACAGGAAGTAAATGTTCATACTCTTTCGTTTGTTGCCAGCCTCACAGTCATCCTACAGCGCTTATTTTGGTATCACTGAACTCGCAATAAAATTCCCCACCCAGACATATGCCTATCAATGTCTAATTATGTTCCGTACGAGTGTGGGAACTGGGCGAAGCGTTAGCCGTGATTTCAGCAGCGACGACACTGTTGTGATGCAGCGCTTTGAAAGTTTATACTTATTTCACTGTCATGACATTATTTCTCGAGCTACGTATTTCATTTTTATAGCAATGTGTTCTCAATAGAAAGTTCTATAAGAACATGGGTAGAATTGTTCAACAGAGCGTCAAATAAATTTGCGGCGAATAAAATCTTACGCGAATCTTACGCGTGTTTTTACCCGTGAGCGTAAAAAGTTTTTACTTTGCTCATGTTTTATCAAGTTTATACTTGATTCACTCCGTTTTTTTTGTTTGTATAGTGTTCGGAATAAAATTCTCTACACAGACATATGCATATAAATGTAGAATCATGATCGCGGCCAACACAAGAGTGTGTGGAGTGCGCGATTACCATCGTTGTGACACCAATTCAATAGTCTCTCCTCTAAGTTACAATACATTGCCGTTTTCTCAAATAGGCACAGTGCCTATTAGAGAAAACAAAAATTTAATGGCAAACATATTCATACAAACCCCAAGTCGATCGAGTAGTAAATACCCAATATAACACTGTCCGTAAATTTACGTCGTGATCCGACAAGCGGTTAGGGAAACCGCCCGCAAGTCCAAGTCGAAAATCCAGGAAAGTGTTAAAAGGAATTCTGAAGTTAGAAAGCATGGCATAGGCTCCTCGCACAATATTCTTTATGTGGTCCTCAGGTGATAGTTTTCTATCTAGAACCACCCCTAGATCTCTTTCTTTTTCAGAATTCTTTAAAGATTTCTCACATAATATATAGGTTCTCCAATTCCACATTCCAAAACATGGCATTTATTAACATTAAATTCCATTTGCCAAGTGGTGCTCCATATACTTTTGTCCAGGTCATCTTGGACAAAAATTTGAAATTTTGGAATTTTAAAATTTGGAATTTTGTCACGTGCGCTCACCATGGTATCTGTTGGGTAACTGAGGTCCCCCTCACAATGGTGGCCTATGCTGGATTTTTTTTGCCAAGATGGTGTCTGTTTACCATCGCCCCTGGGCATCGTATGTGTGCCCCCTCTAATCCACAGGTCGTTTAAATCTTGCAGGTACTCTCACATATACATACAGTAGCTGTGGTGCACAATCCCTCAATAGTTACTCTCCCTAGCTATACAGTGGTACCTCGGTTTAAGAGTTTAATCCGTTCCTGGAGACAGCTCGTATTCCGAAGCTAATTTCCCCTTAACAAATAATGGGAAATGAATTAATCCGTTCCTGACTACCCCAAAAACCCCACTTCAAACAATTTTATACCTAATTCATCTAAATAAACCTACAAAACTATGTTCAAGTTATTACTTACCTTGCTGTTGGCGTATGGAAGATGTTGAGGAGGGAAGAGAAGAGGTGCTACTGTTTGGAAGGGGAGTCCCCTTCCATTATAACATCAGGCAGTGAGGACTTCACTGGTGTGCACACACTGGCACGTTTTGCCTGCATACCACTAAGACTTGCTTGTCTTACTAAGAATCTGTCTAAAGACACTTGTTTTTCCCTACATTTTAACACTTGTCTGTAGTAAGACATCACATTGTCATTTAAAAGGTCAATGCAACGGCCTGCTACAGCTTTATCTGGGTGAGTTTTTTCAACAAAACTTTGCAATTCTTCCCATACTTCACACATTTTCTTAACACTTTAGCATTATCACGGCGCTCGAGAGCGTTACCACGGCGCTCGAGAGCGTTACCACGGCGCTCGAGAGCGTTACCACTTTTTGTGTTGAGGTCGCACAGCGGACTCGCTCAAGAGTCACGAGAAAAAATATTTCTATAAACTCTATTTGTTATGCAATCGACTTTGGGATAGTTTGAAAATGTCCGCCTTGAAATTTCTGTTTTCTCTAATAGCCGCATAGCCTATTTGGGAGAACGGCATGGCAGTGCACCATCGAGGTAAGACCATTGTATTGTTGACACGACAAGTGTAATCGACGTAGTTTTTTATTTGGTACCGGTCTAATGCATCCATGTGTGGCATTTTATATGTATGTTCTTCTAGAACATTCTATTGCGAACACATTGGTACAAAAATGAAATACGTACATCGAAGATTAATGTCAGGACAGTGAAAAGAGTATACATTTTTCAGTGTTGCCACTCGATCACCTGAAACGCCGCACTATTTTCTTAGGTTAAACCTTACCATTGGCTTTCTTGGGACCCATGGCGAGATATATAATAACAACTTTTATGGTCAAATGACCAAAAATCAAACAAAACACTGAAAATCCGGTGAAGAATTGACGTGGGATAGTCACTGGGCGCGAGGCACTGGTAAACTGAGGGGTGAGTTGCACAGATACAGTAATTTTTGCACAGTAAAGTTCCTTCCTCCTAACACCACTCCTCTAATTCAGCCTATGGACCAGAAAATCATAGCGAATTTTAAGAAACTTTATGAAAGGGCACATTTTAGGAAATGTTTTGAAGTGACTGAAGCCACAAACCGCGCTCTCAAAAAGTTCTGGAAATACCATTTTAACATTTGTAGTTCTTTAAAACTCGTTGACAAAGCCTGGCAAGAAGTGACTCGAAGAACCCTGATCTCTGGCTGGAGAAAATTGTGGCCTGAATGTGTGACAGAACTAGACTTTGAGGGATTTGAGCCTGTAAATGATGCGTCTGTTGTTGAGGAAATTGTTACTCTGGGCCGGCAAATGGGCTTGGAATTGGATGGTGATGATGTGGAGGAGTTGGTGGAAGAAGACAATAAAGAACTGACCACTGAAGAACTCCAAGCCCTTCAAAAGGAACAGCAAGAAGACCCAGCTGAGAATGTTTCTCCAGTGGAGGGGGATAAGGCAACAGCGAATGTCCTTTCCACAACCATTATGAAGTGGTGTCAGATGAAAGCTGTTGTAGGCCGTTGCATTAGTCTTTTCAATGACACTGTGATGCCTCACTACAGAGACATCTTGCGAAGAAGAGAAAAACAATCTTCCATGGACAGATTTATTGTGAGAACATCGAGCAGTGAGCCACAACCCAGGACCTAGTGGTATGCAGGCGAAACATGCCAGAGAATGCACCTCAGAGAGGTCATCACTGCCTGATGTTATAATGGAAGGGAACTCCCCTTCTAAACAGTAACACCTCTCCTCCTCCCCCCCCCCCTCCTCACCCCTCCCCTCCTCACCATCTTCCATATCCCAACAGCAGTCATTAGCAATGGTAAGTAATAACTTGAACATAGGTTTGTAGTGTAAATTTTGATGAATTGTGTATAAAATTTAGTTTGAAGTGAGGCTTTGGGGTAGTCAGGAATGGATTAATTCATTTCCCATTATTTCTTATGGGGAAATTAGCTTCGGGTTACGAGTTTTCGGGTTACGAGCTGTCTCCAGGAAAGGATTAAACTCTTAAACCGAGGTACCCCTTTATTGCCTTTTATTTATTTATTTATTTATTTATATATGCAAAAGTTGTTACATTCTTGTACAGCCACTAGCACGCGTAGAATTTCGGGCAAGTCCTTAATCCTATGTTCCCCGGAATATGACCCTGCAAAATTGTTTAACAACCCAGTACCCATTTTACTGTTGGGTTAAACGAAGGCTACAGTTAAGGATTTTTGCCCAGTAAATCCTCCCTGGCCAGGATACGAACCCAAGACAAAGTGCTCGCAAAACGCCAGGTGAGCATCTTAACCACTACACCAAGGGGACGGCTAAACTTTTTTCTCCTTTCTTCCCACTCCTTTCTCTTCCTGCTAAACTCCTTTCTCCCCATTTTAACAAATGCAACTAAGTATTAATGCACAACGTCTTACATGCCACTTTTTCAGGTCCAAAAAGGGAAGCAAGGCACCAAGGGGCAAAAGCAAATTATGCAGGAGAATACGGACACGCTCAACTTCTACCGGAACATGATCCTAGGTACAGCTGGCATATATTTTGGCGTGGGCATGCTCTTCTTCAGCAGTTTCCCGGCACTGGACTTGGTATGTATACTCCCTGCAACTTGAGAAGGAAATAGATTGGAGTATCTATGAGCGACTGTAAATGCTTTTTAATGATGTGAAATTCAAATTCAAAATTCAAATGTTTATTCAGGTAAAAGTACATACATAGATGAGTTACAAACATAATGTTGGATTTATATATAGAGCTAGTACATAAAATGCCTATAGCCACTAGTACACACAGCGTTTCGGGCAAGGTGTGGGGGAAAAAACACTCGGACTAAAACTTAATACTAATTGAGATTAAAGCATAAATTGAGTTGAAATAGGGGAAAAAGAGGGGGGGGGGGTAAACATGGCAGAAATCAGCAATTAAACAACTTAGTCAACAAAAGTATTGTTTGAAAAAAAGCAAGACATGGGGTTGACATTGAGGGAGTAAGGTACAGTAAGTTACTGGAGTTTATTAAGTAGTGCTAAGTTTTTCTCGTAAACTGGTTGAGTTTAAAAATTTAGTACAGCCTTTGACATGATTGGGAAGGTCATTCCACATTCTGGGTCCCTTGATTTGTAGAGCATTTCTAGTTTGGTTAAGGGGCACTCTTGGAATATCAAATAGGTATTTGTTTCTGGTGTGGTCTTTTGGGTAGTAGAACCCCAAGCACAAATACCATAATTGAGATAAGAATAGATGAGAGAGTAATAGAGCGTCACCAAGGCAGGGCGGGGTACATAATATCTGATCTTAGAAAGAATGCCAACAGTTTTAGAAACTTTATTTGAGATATTTAGAATGTGTCCATGGAAATTCAGCTTATCAATGAGAACACCAAGGAATTTATCATATACTTTGTTACTAATTTGGATATTGTTTATTCTTAGATTAATTTGATCTGAGGATTTATTACCAAACAAAATCTAGACGGTTTTGTCAATGTTAAGGGTGAGTTTGTTAGCAGTTAGCCAAAGATGGACTTTATTTAGTTCAGTATTCACTGTATTATTGAGAGTAAGAGGGTTCAGACTGGAGAAAATGAAGGTTGTGTCATCAGCAAATAAAATTGGTTTGAGGTGTTGTGAAGCATTTGGAAGGTCATTAATGTAGATGAGAAAGAGAAGAGGGCAAAGTACGCTGCCCTGTGGAACACCAATCTTAATGGGTAGGGTGGGAGAAATGGAAATATTCACAGAAACATACTGGAGCCTGTCACTAAGGTAAGACTGAAGGTATTGGAGGAAGTGACCTCTAACTCCATAATGATGTAATTTAAGAAGAAGGTTTTGGTGGTTGTGTCAAAAGCTTTACGTAGGTCAACAAATAACCCAACAGGGAACTCATTTTTATCAAGAGTTGCATGTATCAAGTTAATCATACTAATCAGTACATCGTTATTGCTTTTTCTGGTTGGAGCCCTTTCGGCTCCCCGGAGCTATTCAGGCTGATATGTATACAGTATTATTAGACTTTGGCATCAGTGTGAAGGGAGTTTTAGGCCTACCGGGGACCACGAGCCAGAACCTGGCCCTCTTAGAGAGGCATGAGGAGCAATGGTCTATAGAAATGCACATGTGTAATTACCTAAGTAATTCCCTAAGTGTAGTTACAGGATGAGAGCTACGCTTGTGGTGTGCTGTCTTCCCAGCACTCTTTGTCATATAACACTTTGAAATTACTGACGGTTTTAGCCTCTACCACCTTCTTATCTAACTTGTTCCAACCGTCTACCACCCTATTTACAAAAGTGAATTTTCTTATATGTCTCTGGCAGCTTTGTTTCGTTAGTTTAAATCTATGACCTCTTGTTCTTGAAGTTCTCGGTCTTAGGAATTCTTCCCTGTCAATTTTATCGATTCCTGTTACTATTTTGTATGTAGTGATCATATCGCCTCTTTTTCTTCTATCATTTAGTTTTTCCATATTTAATGCCTCTAACCTCTCCTCGTAACTCTTGTCCTTCAGTTCTGGGAGCCACTTGGTGGCATGTTGTTGCACCTTTTCCAGTTTGTTGATGTGCTTCTTAAGATATGGGCACCATACAACTGCTGCATATTCCAGCTTTGGTCTAACAATAATAGTGTCCAATTTCTTTAGTATTTCTCCACCCATGTATTTAAAAGCAATTTTGAAGTTAGAAAGTGTAGCATAGGCTCTTCGTACAATGTTCTTAATGTGGTCCTCGGGTGACAGTTTTCTATCTTGAACCACCCCTAGATCCCTTTCTTTGTCAGAATTCTTTAAAGATTTCTCACATAATTTATAGGTTGTGTGGGGTCTGTTCTCCAGTTCCACATTCCATAACATGGCATTTATTCACATTAAATTCCATTTGCCAAGTGATGCCCCATATATTTATTTTGTCCAGGTCTTCTTGAAGGGCATGACAATCATCTAGGTTTCTTATCTTCCCTATTATCTTAGCATCATCAGCAAACATGTTCATATAAATCGTATATGTAGACAATGAACATTTCCGGTGCAAGAACTGAACCCTGTGGTACTCCACTTGTGACATTCCTCCAATCCGATACATTGCCTCTGATTACAACCCTCATTTTTCTATTAGTTAGGAAATTTTTCATCCATGTTAGAAGCTTACCTGTCACCCCTCCAATATGTTCCAGTTTCCAGAACAACCTCTTATGTGGCACTCTGTCAAAAGCCTTTTTTAGGTCCAGATAGATGCAGTCAACCTAACCATCTCTTTCCTGTAAAATCTCTGTAGCTCGATCATAGAAACTGAGTAAATTCGTTACACAGGATCTTCCAGATCGAAAACCATACTGTCCGTCTGATATTGTATCGTGTAATTACCTAAGTGTAGTTACAGGAGGAGAGCTATGCTCATGGTGTCCCGTCTACCCAGCACTCTTTGTCATATAACGCTTTGGAGCTACTGACGGTTTTTGGCCTCCTCCACTTTGGTGTGCGGAGCAGTCTATGTCTGCCATTGACCGGGCCGGGCACCCAGAAAGGTAGGCGCCCCAAAACAAACCTTTAATCTGGTTAAAACTACTACAGAAAACTAACAAGTAAACAGAAATCCCCAATTGAAAAACGAGCAAATTTGCATGACGTCACACTTGCAGTGCCGCTTGTCTTCACAACTCCCCCTCCCCTGGAGGGGAAAGGGAGAGCCCCAGACCCATTGCACTGGCTATCCACCTGTCAGTTCTCAGCTGATGTGATTGTGGCTCGGTCGTGTGGCTCCAGCTCCTGATTCTGTGTGTTGTGCTGTGCCTTGTGTCCAGTACTACTCTTACGGTGGCATGCGTGCTGGGAGTAATATTCACAAGTACTCGGGCTGCATGTGCTTAGGGTTCCCTTCCCTGAGTGCCCAGTAAGTACCACCCTTGGGGCTTTGGGTTGTCTTCTACAAGTCACCTTGGGGTCTATCTATGTTGGTCTTTTGCTGCTCGGTGAATGACCACCCCGAGTGTGTTGGGGCAGTTTCCTCCCTTGTTTACCTTGGGGTAAGTGGTAGTTTTTGCACTCGTACGGGCGCAGCTAGTTTTCACCCGTTACAGTGGCTGGCTCTGTTCCTCCTGGGTATGTTGTCCTCCTGTGGGTTTTTCCTTTTCATTTTTGTTTGTGCCTGGTGGGGTGGTTACCTACCTTAGTTACCTTTGGATCTGATTTTGGGGTCTGATTTTGTTCCCCTACCCCCAGTTATCTTAGGGTCTTGACCTCCTGTGTTCAGTGGTGCCCCCTGCTTGTCCCCAGTGAGTGGACACGTCCCGGGGGTTCAGTTTTAGAAGTTCGTTTGGTAGACTAGGGCACCAGTTAGCAGTACCCTTCCTGGGCTTACCCTTAGCAATAACAGTCTAAGGGTCCTGGGGAAACCCCGCAGGGACACAAGGGATCCAATGGATGCGACCCCTGGGTCCCCTCTCGCCTTGTGTGAGTTGTAGGGTTGCTCTGTCTCCTTGTCTCAGGCAACGCTCATTTTTTTGCCCCCATAATGCTACCTGTTGGGTCGGTGACATCTTTGACCCGGAGTCCTGCGAGCAATGTTGCTTGTTTGTGACTCACTTCACTCAATCCACTGACACTATCCAGGTGCAGGCAGTTCAGGCATTGCATGTTTCGTTGACCAGACCACACACTAGAAATTGAAGGGACGACGACGTTTCGGTCCGTCCTGGACCATTCTCAAGTCGATTGTCCAGAATGTTGAGAATGGTCCAGGACGGACCGAAACGTCGTCGTCCCTTCAATTTCTAGTGTGTGGTCTGGTCAACATACTTCAGCCACGTTATTGTGACTCATCGCCTGCATTGCATGTTTCGTTTAGGTTGCTGCAACGTGCTAGGTTGATTGCTCCCCTGGATGCCTCGAGGCTGCCCCGCTTTGCTTGTAGGGACCCGGATTTGGTGGTGTTGGTGGTTTCGCCCTTGGTTCAGTCCGCACCCCCTCGTTCTCTCCCTGCTGTGGTTCATTCTGGTAACCCCCCCTCCTCCCCCTCTCCCTTGCTTCCGGCACTGGAGCGTCTGTGGGCTTTGGGCTCGGGGCAGGGATTAGAGGATTCTGAGAGACTGGCAGTTTCGGGGTTGCCTCTTCCAGGTTGGAGACGGAAGCATTTGAATCGGTTCCTCCAGCTGTTGCTTATGGATCTGACCAGTGGTCCCCCCTCCTTAGTGTTTTACGGCTGCCCTGGCATTTTCTTTTGAGGCCGGGGCTTTGGAGGACGATTCAGCCCCAGGTACTGGTATAGAGATTCCCAGGGTTGGGGGGGGGGGCTGATTTGGGGGGCCTTGGGTCCCATTGGATCCTACCTGGGTTTTCCTGCCCTTTGAGTGGGGCTTACTGTTGCATGGAGTGGGGGTTTGCCTACCCCTTCATCCCCCCCCTACGTACGAGTTGATTTTGGTGTCGGGCCCTCCCCGAGTTTGGTTCTGTGTCCCTTTGGGTCCATCGGTTCTGTCCTTCCTGTGGGTAATTTTAACATTCTTATTTAGGACATGTATTCGTCTACATCATGTCACACTCATGTAAGAATCGTATCGGGATCCTGCATGACTCTTGGTCACGTATGCCAATG